AATTGTGTGGAAGTAATAGAAATAAAATATCGTGCCTTTGCGAGTAGATTTCCAATATCTAATTATTTTAATTTTAACGGTTCCAATTAATGTTTTGCTTTTGTAGTGGGATTGACCTTTTTGGATTGGCTACCTCACTTACATGGGTTAACAAGTAGTTAAGTTTAAGTTAGAATGAGAAATCTGACCAAAATAATGATATTGAAAAATAAATCATAGTCTTCCATATCACAGACAAAATTAAGTCCACGAACTTTAGTAGTGCAACTGCCAAGGTACTGCGTAAAATTTTGAAAAATTGGCAGTGCTTTTGGCTTGGCCAAGTAATACACTTTATTAAGATTTAGTTTATTGTGTTCCTATATTATTATTATTTTAATTTCTTATTACTCAATTATATTTTCTTAACTCAATGTGTCTTTTGGTTAAGCAAACAGTAAACCACAGTTAATTTAGGACATAGGACATACTTATAAGTTGACAATAACAGCTTAATTAGTACTTAATACTGAACAAGTCTACAGTAATATTGCGGTGGCAAGTGGGTCTAATTGTAAAGAAAATGAGAAAATTATTCTCAAGTTTTTTTATGACATACTTATAAGTTGACAGTATCTAAATTAACTCAGATGAAGAATCTATTTTTAATAAAACAAAAAAATTACGGAAAAAAAAGTTTTTTCAATACGAGAAGATTTTTTTAAAATTTTTTTCTCTGTTTATAATTTTTTCAAATAAATCTGAAAATAAATATATAATTTTAATTTATATTGATAATTTTCCTGAAAAAAAGTTAAAATGAATATTTTAGAATTTATAATTAAAAGAAATTTTTATATTTTATCTTTCTTTAGAAATTAAAATAAAATTTCTTACACTTTTTTAGTATTTATAATTTAAAAGAATTTTTTAATATTTATTTATTATAATTTTCCTAAAAATTTAAAAGTTTAAAAATTATTATTTTATGAAAAAATATAAATAAAAAATAATTGTTCCTTCACTAAAAAAAATATTTTTATTTTAACATTTTTTTAAAAAAATTGTCTCTTTATTTATAATTTTTTCTATTACAGAAAACGGTTGAGGGATAATTTAATACTTTAACTCTTTTTTAAGGAGAAATCTCAATTTAGCCTCTAACATATTATTTTTTTATCAGTTCAATTCTAAACCTTTTGATTTTATCCTTTATGCCCTAGACATAATCGAAGTTTGTGAATGGCATCCCTTCCATCTATTTATTGGGGGATATTCTCGGCTGGTCACAACCAAGTCATAACAAAGGTATTTTCGGTTAGTTTTCTCATTTTGACACCAATAACTTTTCTTGTCAAGTCTTAAGAAAACCATCTAAATGTATCTATACTAATGGATTCACAAGAAATTACTTCATTTTTCATTTTTTTTTTCTTTTTTGAATCTGAATTCTAAACAATGACATGAGAAGCAAACTCTTTATCCACCAGGTCATGTCTCAATCAAACCATACAGCCTTAAAGACTAGAGAGGACTCAAAATTCATTTTGACATTACTGGGTGTGCTAGCCATTTTGAATATCAATAGTAATTGTCATATTAATTTGTTAAATAGATCTTTCAGATCAAATAAATTTTTCAGAACCGATCATCTCAAATGAAAAGAAGAAACAAACAATTTTTGACAGAAACATTCTTGTAGTTCCAATATTGACGATTGAATCCTTATTGAAACTATAAGGATTACTTTGTTAAAAATCATTACCACATATATTTTTAGCGTCACCAAACCATGGAAAGAGATGCTAATTGCCAACCATCACAACTCAAGTGAGCATCTCTCCAACTTAGCTTTCAAGAATTACAGAAGATGTCAATTTATAGGTTTTAACGAAAGTTAGCATAGATGGTTACTTTCCAACTTCCTTTTGATAATTGTTTATTTCTGTGAGGTGACATAGAGAATTCCTTAAGAGTCCTCAATTACACATTGAAAAGAAGATGGAAAATTGACCACCAACCAAACCAAATTATTCAAATGAGATCAAAAGGTGATTCTGCCCAAGACTCACAAATGCTCTTCACTTTTTTGTACAGGTAGAATGGGATCAATATCGATAAATTTGTAGTTTCTTTTAAAATTCACACAATAATCATAATGTGTGCATTAACTTATTTCCATTTAATTAATTAAGTTATTTAAACTTGCACTGGCAGTATTAAACTTAATGAGGTGTCATAAGTAAATAAATAAATGAGGTTTCATAAGTGGAATTGCAATATTATTGGCTGATCTATAATACTGTCTGGCTGAATAAAGTCTTGAACTAAAATAATGCAGGTGGCCCAACCATGGTGATCATGCACTGGTCAAAGCAGAAGTAGTAATACTCGATAAGAGGGCAAGAGAAAATTTCAGGATCGGTCGGGAAAGAGTACAGTCGTTTTCATTATTGAGATGACCCGTTCTTGGTAGCCTCATTGAGTTAAAGATTTTTTTAAAAAAATAAAAATAAAACAAAAGACAGAATCAAAGCTAAGCTACGCTAAGATTGGTCGGGAAATGGCTGAAACTGTAAGTTAGATGGTGAATGAACAAAATAAAATATTTGCAAGAAAATATTAGAAAATGAAAAGGGAGACCCATCCCTATTAATGGGATTGGGATATTATTGGTACGCAAATGAGGTAAAAGATCAATGGAAGGCAGAGCTTCAAAGGCGAAATTGGCAAAGAATGAAGAACCTAACTACCACCGTAGCACCGACATTATTCACAAGTCAATCACATGTCACCTACTCTTTGCTTAAGTATACTTCTCAGATATAAAATAATATATATTTTAGAAAAACCTGCCTGGCTCCCCCCATATGTGACTTAATTAACGCGAGAAGAATTTCCTGTTGATCGGCAGAAATCTAAGCAAGATACAGAAAGAGGCACATGATGAGAAACCAAAATTATTTTACTCCACAAGTCATCTCCTGCCATTGGAACAGAAAGTCCCATATTTAATTAGCCTACTAGTAGATGGCAGTGGGTTGTTGGGCAGTCAGCTTCTAGTGTACGAATGTTAAATCATTTCAGATCATAATTAAAGTTTTTATATATAAAGTCAAGTGGAGGACTTTTTCCACCCCGTCTGAGTTTCTTTTTAATCAATTTTATAAAAATAAAATATTTCTCATCCATTAATTATTTAACCATAGAATATAATCTAAACTTCAAATCTATGCATAAAATCGTAAAAATCTTCCATGAATTATAACATAAAAATCCATACATATATTAAAAAATAAAATTACAACTTCATAAAATAAAAAAAATCAAATTGTTAAAAAATAGGTCGGAGCCTGTTGAGTGATGGAACGAGTGAGGGATCTGACTTTGACAAATCAAATAGAATTTTACTTGTCTATAGTTTGATCATGTCAAATCGAATAATAATTCGATCCAACCAAACTGATGACTCCAATACCTAACGTATCGAGTAGAATTATCATCCCTATTCAAGATTTATAGCTAAAATTTTCTTGTCGTGTATTAAAATTTACAAATTTAAATTAAAAAAATACATGTGACTTAGTAAATTCATTAAACATTGAAAAACAAAATTCACAAATTTACCAATAATGAACTTAATTGAAATACTAAGACGGAGTAAATAAAATCTAATCTAATTCATCTACTGTAAATAAAATTTTCTATAACTTAAATAACCTAAAACTTTGTTGACCTCATATTTGATACATTTTTGTTGCTTTTTTTTTATTTATACTTAACAAAATATTATACAATACACAATTTAATCTAAAACTTATAACACAATCTTAATTTGGTTTAAAGAAATAATCAACAACAAACATATTGGAAGATATTTTCAATCAAGATTTTGGTTGAAAAAGAAATCCATCAATTTCTTTCTCCTAAGACCACATTAATACTCTATTTTCATGTAATAAACAAATAAAAAAACAAATATATTTGCTTTACATCGTTGTATATTAATTTATTATGCATACATGACAATCACTTATTGGTTTATGTGGTAAAAAATATTACATCATCATATCACATGGTAACTTAACAAAACTCCCAAACACTTATTCCATTTTCAAGATAAAATAATAATAATAATAATAGGAGGAATTAGTTAGTATATCTAGAATATTAACTCATAAAAACATGGGATAACACTAATTTTTTCAAAATTATTAATAAAATATTTTTATCAATTTATTCGTTAGTCTCATAATATCAAATCAAAATTTTACCTTCTTCTTTTTAATCCCAATGGAATACATGAATTTTAATTTTTTATTTAAATATGCTATTTAAAAAAAATCATGAATCAAATATCTTTATCAATTTATTCATTAACTAATGACGTGTTAGTTATTTTTATAATATCAAATTATAATTTTACTCTTTTTTTGTTGGAGGAAATATTTTCCACAATGCACAAAAGAAATGAATCTTATTGATAAAAAATCACATGTTTATGTTTTAATTCACATTTTATTGCTAAAACTAAGTGACTTTTGTCCGAGGATATATATATCAAATTTTGAAACGACGGATTAATTTGGAGGGAAAGTTCCTTTCGACAAAAGGATTATAAAATTATAAATTGGTACTTTACAGATAACAAACACTGTATTAGTTAATAAAAAAATTGACAAAAATCTTTAATTAATAATTTTGAAAAAATTAATGTTCTCAAATGAAAAAAAAAATCTATGTTTCAAATATTGGAATAACAAACACGTCATAGTTAATGAATAAATTGAAGAAAATACTTAATTCACAATCTGAAAAGTCGGCATATAAAAAAAAAAATCTATATACTGTATATATATTAAAAAAAAAAAAGGTTAAACAGAGTTAGTGTAGTTACATTATAGTTATCCAGGCCCTTCGCTAATAGAAATTATCCTCTTGCGCATCATTATAATTCCATTCCCTTTCCTTCTCCATTGATAATAAGCATAACTCTCTCCTTCTCCCTCTTTTGCTTGCATATGGATCAAAGCAAAGAAATAGCTAGAGACGTTTTTCCTTTCCTTCGGGTGTACAAAGATGGAACCATCGAGAGACTAGCAGCGACAGAAGTTACTCCTGCTGGCCTAGATCCTGAAACCGGAGTTTTGTCCAAAGACACGTTGATCATACCAGAAACTGGTGTCTCAGCCAGACTCTACTGTCCCAATTCAGCAAAAGGCAACGAAAAACTTCCTCTCGTGATCTACTATCACGGTGGAGGCTTTTTCATTTCATCAGCTGCTGATCCCAAGTACCACAACAGCCTCAATAGGCTAGTTGCTGAGGCTAACATCATTCTTGTTTCAGTAGACTACAGGACAGCCCCAGAGAATCCTCTCCCAGCAGCATATGATGACTCTTGGGCTGCACTTCAGTGGGTGGCTGCCCATGCTAAGGAAGATGGTGGCAGCGAGGCATGGCTTAAGGATTACGTTGACTTTGGGCGGGTTTTCTTGGCAGGAGATAGCTGTGGTGCTAACATAGCACATCATTTCGCACTGAAGCTTAAGGACTGTGAACTGGGTCATCAGATGAAAATTCAAGCCATCGCTATGATCTTTCCTTATTTTTGGGGAAAAGATCCAATTGGTGTGGAAGTAACAGATCACGTGAGGAAATCAATGGTGGACAACTGGTGGTTGTTAGTTTGCCCAACGGAGAAAGGATGTGACGATCCACTTATTAACCCATTTACAGATGGATGCCCGAGTCTCGAAGGTCTCGCTTGCAAAAGACTGCTTGTTGTTGTCGCAGAGAAAGACATATTAAGGGACAGAGGAAGACTTTATTATGAAAAATTAGTGAACAGTGAGTGGCAAGGGGCTGCCGAGATTATGGAAATACAAGGAGAAGATCACGTCTTTCATATCATTAGTCCCGACTGCGAGAATGCAAAGAGCTTGTTCAAGGGACTGGCTTCTTTCATCAACCACACATAGTGGCCTGTTGCAGAGCGCAGGTTTTTCATTTGGAAAAAGTTTACTTTTTATGTCAATTTATGCAGTAAAATAAGACAGTCTAAAGTTCGCTTCACAGAACGATTTCCATTCCATTACTTGTTTCCAAAAGTTTGATTTCACCGGTCCCTGCTTTTGTGCTTTTTTAACCTGACCAATGCTTCTAATCGCACCTTCAAATTAACAAGTCCACAAGCATACAAGGCTGGCAAGTCTACCAAATAACTAAGCAAATGATGACCCACCTGCCACCCAGTTCATGCAAAAGCATTTCATTGGCGGGCTGTTATTAAAGCTCTGTCAATTTATTTATTACCACTAAAACATCGGTCACTTTGCAATGATTCATGAATAGCTTGAGTATTATAAAATTTCTCACTTTGCAATAGCCCCTTATCCCAACATTAAAGCTATAAATTATTTCCACAATTCTGCTGGAACACCAATGGTTGATAACATCATAACCTCATCCAGCAGATATTTTAAAAAAACTGGCCTTCGGGGACAACCGGAAAGATGGGCAGGGCAAAAATTAACTTCAACAAAGAGTTTGGGCCAGAAACAACCCAATACATGGACCTGCTTTTGATTAGGTAATCGTAACTTCCACAATCGAATAACCAAACAGCAGCATGCAGAGACACGGCGGGAGCACAATTTTATCTAACATCACGACGCAGACAATAAAACAACTATATAAATCCCACTGATTGACCTGTCTTCCACAAATCCAACATGACAACTAGTCCAGTAGATCTTAGCAAACAATGAAATGAAAAAAAAAAAAAAAACCGAAATGTAAATTATGAAACAAGATTGTTCTACTTGAAACCGAGAATACAGACTGACAAACGAAAAGTCAGCTCTAGAACACAACTGTGTCGAGCATAGTACCCAATGTCTGCACTATGTTGGAAGACATCAAATTTGAGACATGCTCTTCAAGGTGTTTCTTTGCATCTTGCCTTCCCACATTCGCAATTGCCAGCTTTTCAGGTGGCAGCTCATCTTCCTCTTGCACGGCCTTGTTGTATTTACTAGCTAAGTTCAGCATTTCCTGCAGATTTCAAAACATATCAAGATCAATCACCATCGCTCTGAGAAAATGAATATTACTGTATTTACCTAATACCTAGCAGACTATGGGAGCAGACAAATTGCATTGCCCTAATGATAAGAAGGTAGCTACCAGAGGTTCAGCTAACCCCATCAGGATGAGAGACCCATCCCAAGCCCATTTCCATGGATGCAAATGCCGTAATGTTGGATGAGTGATGGAATGGAACAATACATGGGATGAGTAATACAAAGTATGAATCCACAAATGGCAATGCCCTAATGTTGGATGATAATGGCAAACTAGTAATAATTACTTGCATCAGTCCTCAACTAGAATTGACCTCCAACATGGGGAGTTCATGATGCATGATGATTTACAATAGGGCACTGAAAAATCATGAGCACCTTCTCTCACATAATGAAAAGACAAAAAAGAAAACAGCACAGCATAGATTAAAGAAACTCCTGTGACATTTGCTCACCTGAACAGTCTGCTCATTGGTTTTTGAATGAGTATCAAACCGCTTAAGTGTCAAACCATCTGTCCATTTCTTCTTGTGCAGGTTAAGAAGCATCTTTTCCTCGAGTTCATTCTTTCTGTAATTAATGGCTATTGAGTAATAATGTCTGTTCAATCCATGGATCAATGCCTGAAAATATCAAGTGAATCATAAGGGATCTTGATGCAACATAAAAATAGATTGAAGAAAAAGATCGGTTTTGTTATGCACTAACTTGAATGGATGGCTTATTCAGATGCCCCAGATTAGAAGTTGTCTGTCGTGGTTCTTGGCCAAGCATCATCGTTTGTGGGTTGATCAAACGAAAGGCATCAATTACCACCTTTCCTTTAACACTCTGGATTGGATCCACCACGACTGCCACAGCACGTTGATTCAGAGCCTCAAAACTCTGTGAGTATCAAACACAAAAAACCAGTTAGTTCAATTAGTAGCAACAAGCAGCAACAATACTGAAACAAACAACAGTCACATAAAAAAACACCGCAATTTTTAATTTATCCTAATTCAGAAAGACTAACTTTGAGTCATTGGCAAAATGCCATATTCGATAAAAACCCTTGCCTCGACCAACAGTCTTAGCATTGAAGCAAAACCGAATTGCATCAAAATTATGCAAGAAGAAAAGGAGCATTCTGAAAGAAAGGTACAAGAATTTGTTCTGATACAGCTTGCGGCAAAATTTGACATTTATATCCATAAAGATTGGAATAAAAGACAGGAGGGGTCATTATGATTCTTACCAACTATTAGAAATGCCACAGTTGGGAGAGACTTCTAGATGGGATGGCACAGTAAGCATTCTATCAACATTTTGGGGTTTGAGGTTCAAATCCCCAATCAGGGGGCAATCCTATTAAGGAACAAATGAAGTACAAGATAATGGTTTGAAGAATAATCAGTCCTCCAGGTTACAGTAGCGCTACCCAAAACAAGAGTCCACAGTCCTTTCCTATCGACAAGCTTCTTATATCCATGTCAAACAACATCATCTGCAATTTCTTAACGGTTTTTTCACTAATCCATGTGATCACTGTTCACATTGGACTCCTGTAATCAAGCTGTCCTATCTATACTATTTTTCTTAAGGGTTTTTTTACTAACCCATGTGATCACTATTCACAATGAACTTGTGTAATCAAGCTGTCCTATTTTTGACAGTAATATTTTTCAATCGGGGCAGCATTCAGACAGCCATCCTATTCTCTACAAGCCCAGACGCACACAATTAAACTATCATAATCACTGAATGGCTAAATCTAGCAATCCATTTTCCCGCAACTTGTAACATCAATTCAAAGTTCACTGATGACAACTGAACACTGAGATTATCAATACTTTGTCTATAGAATAAACATAAAGCAAAACCTGCTGGGTATTTATATCAACACCAGAGAGCCAACAGCCAAATCCAGGATGTGAATGGTACCACCCCACAACCATCTCCGGTCTGCAACACCAAAAAACGAATCAACAAATCAATAACGGAACTGTATCCCAAAAAACCCCACGCGATTATCATCTAAATCAAATTGACAGGAAAGGACAAAAAAATACCTTCCAGTCTGTTTAAGCATGTCAAGCATATTAGTCTGGAAGACGTGATCGACAGCTTCAACACTCACACCAGTACCACTTTGTGGCATTGCGAATACATCCACAACACGAACAGTATATTCATCCACAAACTCTCCAAGCATCAAACCCATCACTTCCATCGGTACCCCAGCTCTCCCTATCGTCCACATCCACCAAAATCAAACATAAAAAAATCCAATTCTTAACAACTCCTCAAAATTCAATTAAAAAAACAGTAAATCCAGAAAACATGCTCAGATCCAAAACCCTAGAATCTGGGTTCAACTTCGAATTAACAAAGAACCAACAACAAAACCCTAAAAGTGAAATACACCGTATCTATAGGTTTTATATTTTGGAAAAACGTACCGTGTTTAAGCATTTTAAGGAGGGCGAGAGAGGAGATGTAGACCTGCTCGGAGGAATCAAGAGTGGGAGAATCTGGTGGTGGATGGCCCAACGCGCCTCCTGCACCTGCAAACATTCTTTGCAGTCTCTCCATGCCCGACATTTTTTTTTTTTTCACTTTCTTGATTTCTTTCTCTATAGCCAAACACGAATTATTGAGAGGTTTTCTTTGTGAGCAAGACAGACTGCTAACTTCTAGTATTACTGGTATTTATTCAGAAGACAAGTGAAAAACTAAAAAGAAGGTAAATTTGATACTGACTTGTTGGAGGGGATTTTGCTCTTATGCCCTTGAAAGTTAAAAAATTATGACTTTTTTAGGTACTGAGCCATGACCAGATAGGCTTCCGTCTTCGATATTTGTGGGTTTAAGTCAGGCCCTTAATTATCTAGGCAAGGGCTTGAAAGCAGTTGGGTTTATTCCGCCCAATTACCTAAGAAGGTTTTCTGTATAGGCCCGGTTTCAAGGACGAAAGCATCAAGCCTGATATATAGTTTCATACTTCAGCCCAGAATTTTAGGCTTATTTGACCTGTTAAGCGTACTCTTTATCTTTATTATTATTTTTATTTTTATTTTAATCATGGTCTAGTGTATTTGCTAGTCTTGATGAATTTTGAATATTTTGACAGGAAAAGGTATACGTAACTCGTAAGAAACGGTGTCTACGTTGATGCTAAAACATCTTTGTTTCCAAGAAAAAAAATTATCATCATATAACATAAAGAAGTAGAGGTTAAACAAACCTAAAGAAAGAAAACTGAACAAATTCTCCTTCGAAAATCGATATATGTATATATATATAATAAAATTATATAACGTGGAATCTCGGTACCATAGAAATTTTAGCAGTTGATCGGTTACGTGGCCATGTTGGATTGAATTTTTTTTATTTATTCATTAATTTTGTCCTTAATTTAAACTTTCTATTCTTAAAACAAGAGTTAGTTATATAGTTTAGTCAATTCTAGTTCGATTGATCAGTTGATAAGTAATTAAGGATGGTTAATTATTGGTGCAAGAAATTATTTAACCTTGTAATTCTTCTGTTATTTGAGAAATTTGAATTTTGTCCTTAAAAAGAAACTGATGGGACCTTTTGCAAGAATGGAAGTAACAAATTGAGAGGAAAAGGAGCTGGTTGATATATTCTCGAGATATGCTAGTTTCGGTAGGGAGGACAAGACTAGTTGAAATTGATGGGGCCTTTTGCAAGAATGGAAGTAACAAATTGATGGGACTTTTTGCAAGAATGGAAGTAACAAATCTCAGATTTTAGTCTCGTTACTAGTTTTTTTTTTAGAGAGATAGCAATTTTACGTTCAATTAACCTTTTTCCGTAAGGATATTTTAAATTTCGACCCCCATATAAATATAATAACTACAAGCATAGTGTAATATTATCATGTCAAATGTATGTCCAACATGCGTGTCCAATGTAAAAAACTGGCCGAGGCGATATATAATCGCACAAATTATCTTTGGAACTCGTCATTATGCATGCTTGCTGAATAAGGAAATTGCGTTTTTGACCTTTAGAATTCAAATATATTAATACATATGGTATTAAAATCTGTCACATTAATTGAAATAATTTTTTATTTCTACCTTACAAGCCTCAATAAGATTAAGTGTTACCAAATTATATAAAAATACAAAATTTTAAATAAATTATAATTTATTTATTTATAATTACAATAATGGCATTACAATTTATTATTTGTCAACATAGTGTACGTTTTGAAAAATATTTGTACTTATAAAATATTAAAACTGAAAAAAATTATATCACAAATAAGCTAATTATTCTATGGATTGGTAAATTATGGACCTAATCCATTAAATTTTTGCTATATAATTTAAAAAATTATTTAATTGATTTCCATAAAATACATAGGGTATTTAGAAAATGACTCATTAATAAAAATATATTATTTAATACTCCGTCAACGTTGAATATTAAATTTTTTAAAAAAATTGTGCCCATGAAAACAAGATTAATGAATTTTTTAATGTTCCCATAATGGTATTCCTCCTATTGATCATTCTGGATGCACCCAGCTAGTTTTATCGGCATTGAGAAATATTGTTGGATGAGAATTTTACGTGTGAATATTAGGAGTACAGTAAATGGCCATGTCCAACCATTAATTAGTCTTAATTTCAAATTACCTGTAGGGTTCATAGATCTATATATAAACTTTATCTTGCAACGATTTTCTTCGTCAGTCAATTAATAGTTGGAAGACATTCTAATGCACAAACATATAGTGAAGTAGTAAGAAACAAACAAAGCTGTTGATACAGCGATAATCAAACTGATTCTTTGATGATTTTTTTATCGACGTGTAAGATTTAAATTTTAAATTTATATTTATAAAAATGATTTAAATATTATTTTTTCTCACTTTAAATAAAATTGTTTTTATTTTCAATATAAGATATGGATATCGGAAAAAAAAAAAAAGGGAAAGAAAAAAACATATAGCGATGATCCAAACATTCAATGGAGGCTACACAGCCTTCCGTCTATCCATTCAAACTCTGAAGAGACGCTGGATTAGAATTTGTAGTATACTGAAATAGAGAGATATTTCAATGTGATATTTTGGAAGGCAAACAATATCTTGTGTTTCTCTACGTTATTTCATATTTGACCTGGATCAAAGGAACTTTAGTGTTGACGCAAATTTAGATATTCTCGATATTTGGTGGATGGAAAGGCGGATACCATGTAACTGGCGCTGGATAAGGTCAAGGTGATAAAGAACTATTGAGATTTTTAGAGTTTGAATGCAGAACTTATTAATTATAATTTATTAATCGTTAGAAAATGAATTAAGTAAAAAGATAAAAAATAGATAATAATCAACTGTATTGATATCTTGTGTGATCTATAATTTAGTGCGTTACATAAAATTAACATGATGGTCTCGTTACATTATAAATATGAATAATATCTTTTATATTTGTAATTGATTAAAAATCTTATAAGAACCCTCAATGTAAATATAGAGTAAATACACTTATAAAATCAAATAAATCTTATGACGTGTGATTCTCTATTATCTTTCTATTTTATTTTCTTATTTGATTTTTTTATAACATACACAATGCAAGATTTATGTACTTAGTTCGATAAATTTTCAATAAATTTATTTACTTAGTTCGATAAATTTATTTACTTCACAATCATATTATAAGTTCTTATTAAGTTTTTCAATAAGTTCTTAATACACGAAATAATATCCATATTTATAGTATTGATAGCTAAAAAATCATTATTTAATTAACTCTCCGTATCACACTAAATTGCTGGTGATAACTTCGTCAGTCTCCAGCTTAACACCAATAATTAAGCATTCAGGTCTTGCTCTCACAATTCCTGCAAGTTGACCTTTGTCTAATGGTATTGGTCCATCTGTACTGAGAAGCCAACATCTCTTCCTCTCTTTACGTTCTGCCTTAATGTTGTTTTTCAGAACCTGTAATCTTGTTTGTGGCTTCTTTTGTTCTTCGTTTTCATGTCATGAGCTCAATCGCTTTTGCTCACTTGATATTTTCTAATGAATCCTTTGGCTTATCAAAAATAAATAAATAAAAATAAGTTAACTAACTTATGATCTGCTAAGATCAGGAGGTTTAATTTTGAATGGCTATTCCTGTAATCCTAACAGTTAGTTTTAAGTTCATTCCTTAAAAAAAAAAAAAAATGCAGTTAGTTTTACTTAAGTTGGGCTCGCTAGCTAGGGTGTCTAATATATGAATCATTCATCTCCGTCCATCGTCATCCTTCAATAACGCATATATATCTCACGTGTCGTGGTTCCCGTTCTCAATAACATTCAAATTTCTTAGCCGATAATTTCGAGAGTTTTCATATAAAGAGAATATTAATTTTTACCACAGAGAGTATGACCAGCAACATATATTATTGTCTCTTTTAATTGACACACGATTGAATATCACAAATGCGAAAGACTTAAAAAGGAACATATAATGGACCGTTGCAATGTGACTCTTGGACTAATTACAGTGAAGACTAGTAATTTGATATTGTATATATCATCAGGTGAGGACCAAAATTTACTAGCCTTAGTTAATCTGAGCTGACCCTTGCTTGTCTCTAGCACGGAGTCTCTTTTCTTCGGAGAGCAATATAGCAAACCTGAAAGGAGAAGGAAAATATTAGCTACAAGCAATTTAAATTTTTTTTTCCCCTCCTTCTGTTTCTTTTAAGTTCTGAATTTTAATTCGTACTTCTTGAGAGCTTCGGCATTAGTGCCACCGTTTTCAACTGGCTCGGATAGCCCCTTCTCCAAATTGACCCTCGAAACTGGTTTCTGCAATAACTCTTCACCAATGCGCTCCAGTTTGTCTAACTGCTCTTTAGTGGCAATATCAACAGAAGCATCGCTTCCCGTTAAGGTATCGTCCTGCTTTCGATAAAAAAAGAGAATCGGCACTCATTTAAGAATAAAGAGTTTAGACTTGCTAGATTTAAAACCAAATAGGAAGACTGTTAATTTAAACAAACTGATCAAACGTTTATAAGGTATGCAATTACTTGAATTCTTAAGTAGTTTCCTTCAGATCGAAGTGTTTGGAACAATACTGAGATATGGTAATCAACCATATCAGCACTGGCTTGAGTGAAGACATCCACTAATGGAACGGAACCAGCATGTAGTAACCAACCTAAAGTGCCCCATTTGGCTGCCATTGGAGCGTTGTATTTCTGTTCTATTTTCTGTGAGCCAGTGCCTAGTGAGATCACAAGAAAGCGGCCATAGTCCACGGGCTTAATTGGGAGGAAATCAGGATTTCCATCGAATATTTGTTTGTTCACTTGGGCTATTGCAACCAAAGCCTGAAACACACCATAATAAATAAATGGTTATATATAATAAATGATTTCTTAATTATAATTATAATTCATAAATGCCATCCATGTTTGTAATATATATATGCACGTACCGGATTATTTGCAGCTACACCACCATCAATGAGATGAAATTCTTCGTCTTTTCCATCGATGTCTTGATTCTTGAAATAATGAGCGGGAAGATAAGTTGGAGCAGCCGAAGTTCCAATGCATATGTC